TAACATTTGGAGACTGAGGTGATGTTTACTATAAGCAAGTTCTCCCAAACCAACACTTACAGGAACCCATAAATTACATGTGCCAGGCAAAAGAGTGACAAAGCTGTTCACAGTACACAAAGTTCTTTGACCATTAACCATAAAATAGAAAAATTCAGGTTTCCTTGCCTGTTGCCAATAAACTGCTTCACTGCATTATAGATTATTGTACATTTTACATTTGCTGTTTAAAAGATACTTAAATTCTCTAGCAGCATTGCTATGTCAGGCTCTAATATACCCTGTTTCCAGGAAGATGATTTTAGAAAAATCATAGAATCACAGAATCATAGAATCACAAGGTTGGAAAGGACCTACAAGATCATCTAGTCTAACTGCCCTTGCAGTGCTACCACAAGCACTCAACCATATCATGCAGCACGTCATCCAGACGCCTCTTGAACACTGCCAGGGACGGCGACTCCACCACCTCCCTGGGCAGCCATTCCAGTGCCTGACCACTCTCTGAGAGAAAAAGATCTTCCTTATGTCCAACCTAAACCTTCTCTGGTACAACTTGCGGCCATTTCTCCGGGTCCTGTTTGTTGCCTAGGAGAAGAGGCCAAATCCCTCCTCATCACAGCCTCCCGTCAGGAAGTTGTACAGTGCAATGAGGTCTCCCCTGAGCCTCCTCTTCTCCAGACTGAACAATCCCAGCTCCCTCAGCCACTCCTCATAAGAGTTCAGCTTCATTGCCCTTCTCTGGACACGCTCCAGGGCCTCAACGTCTTTCCTGTAGTGAGGGGCCCAAAACTGAACACAGTACTCGAGGTGCAGCCTCACCAGTGCTGAGTATAGGGGGATGATCACCTCCCTGCTCCTGCTGGCCACACTATTTCTAATGCAGGCCAGGATGCTGTTGGCCTTCTTGACCACCTGGACATATTGTTGGCTCACGTTCAGCCAAGCATCAACCAACACCCCCAGGTTCCTTTCCTCTTCATAGTCATAAAGCAGTTCCAACTTCAAAGCTCAGCATATGCCACTTTCTAATAACCAGTAATCACTGCTAAATCATCTTATATTTTCTGAACATGCATAAATGCCAAGCAGGTACCATGTTGCCCACATGCAGATGACCTTGTTATAACAAGGAAGATTGTTTTTATTTCATCAAAACACTATCTGAAATATGAACATACTAGAAGCAAGTAAAACAGAAAACAATCAAGCAAGGAGAAACAAAAACATAGCCACCTAGAGTTCACATGCATCTCCAGAATTAATATATTTTGCATCTGTTGAACAAAGTACCCAATTTCACATTTGGCATCATAAATATCAAATATGCTGACTTAAATGTATTTTAGAATGAACACATAGCCTTATTAAGTTGACCGACTTAATTTAATGCTTCCTTAATAGTTTATATGACATTGTGACACTGTGACGCTGAACTCAAGAAATCATTTTCACAGAATTTAATTCCACAAGGATGAAGGAAAGCTCTGATAACTATTTTCTTAGCACTGTTCGGATTGAATTCCAGTTTTCCACTCCTTCTGCAGTAATTCTAATGAGGAAGAGTATGTCTCTCTGTTATTCAGAGAGGCATTTGAAAAGTGATACCACGATACTGACCATCTTTCTTACAGATATTAGATACAGGAAAGTCATGAAGCTCACATACTATAAATACACATAATAGTTTCTGTGCATAATGCAAAATATTTTCACTTATTTTAAAGAGTAGAACTATTTTTTTTTCAAATACAGGGATGAAAGACATGCAAAGGACCAAATATTCTATGCATACAATGCACTTCCATAAAATCAGTTTCTCTCAACTATTTATGTAAGCAAAATGTATACACCTTCAGCTAGCAGAGTTGGAATTCCAACATCTAAGACTGACTGCAACAATACAATCTTTACCGAGGCAGCTTTGTCTATGTGACCTGAAAAACAGATTGAGAAACTGACACATCCACTTGCCTCTTTACTCACTAAAGGTCATCAGATGGTGCAAAACGATCCAAGACTGAACTAAAGTAACATATTTTGAGCAAACCTTTATTATTTAAACCCACATCAATTATTAGAGATATAACTTACCAGAATACTGTCCTTCATAAGGCAGATAAACTAGCCTAATTCCCACTGCACACACAAATTCTGAACTCACACTAAAATAGTGCAATTGTATTTGCCTTTAATTTAGGTTATCACTGTTTTTGCACATTTTAGAAGTGTGTAATCTTTTTAATTGAAATTAATTAATTAATCAAAGCCTAAAGGTGAGTCATTTCTCATTGATTTCCTCATGAAACTTTGCCATTCCTACCCAACACTTTAAAAATATACACCAAACTTTAATAATCAATCAGAAATCAAGTACAGGTTCTATTAGAAGCTCATAGCCTATCCAGTCATTACTAAATCAACTCATATTTTTCTCAGTTATTATTATTACATTTAAATCAGAGACAGCTTACAAATTACCTCACAAATATTAGAAAAATCTGACATATTATTTGTAGTAAAACTGGGTACTTATTTCAATGGATCTGAAATATATTGATTCTGGAGAGGCACATGAATGCTAACTACTCATGGAAATCATAGTAATTTACTGTCACTCTCTGATACTTACAAGTTACTGCATTATAAACTTTCCCAGATACTACAGAACTTAAAGCATGCTGCTCTAAACTGAAATCAGTATATCTCTTTTAATATATTTGCTGTTCATTTCAAAGCCAAATTTTGACCATGGACTTTTAAACTGCTAGGAATTGCTGGGTAAGGGATATTTTGAAGAAAAGTCAGTTTGTGACCAAAACAGACCATTCAGTGGTACCTTCATCACTAGTTACTATTAAAATATACAATCAAAGTACACATATTTTCACCAAAAATCAAAATGACTTCTTTATCACCCAATTTATGTGTCATAGCTCAAGAAAATTTGCACAGCCTGGAAAATTTCAAAGTTCTTGAGACTGCTTGTAACGATAAAAGTGTAAAATTCATTGCTGTGCAAATTATTTACTTGGATATTTCTCTACTTTTAAATGAAAACAAGCATTTTCTTACTACATAGTTTTCCAGTTCCTCTTTTTAAAAATTAGTGGGGGTAACACTAAGTATACAGAGGAACCACATAGTTATCTCTAATTTCTTTAGCTTCCAGAAATAAAAGAGGTCACCACTTCTAAAGCAACATAGATTACACGCATTCAAGATAGTTGTTCTGATATATTCATAGATAAATAGAAAATTCATAGATAAATTACATTTATCAGGATAGTTAGCCAATACTGCCAGAGAACCACAGGACAAAAATAATTCTTTACTGGTAACCAGTTACAACCAGTGTGTTTCTCTAGCAGCATGCACATTTACAAACAGATTTCAGAAGGACTAAAGAGTATTAGTACTGATTTGGAAGGAAAAAAAAAGCAGTAGAATTTACTGTGGCAAATAGATATGAGAAAAAATGCATACCCAATGAGAACAGAACCTACTGAATATTTTGGAACTACAAATTTCTGAGACAAAAATGATAGCTGTAATTATTACTTATGTATGTGGCATGAGCCACAACTGTTTACATACTGTGAAGCTTTTGGTTGTTCTTCCACCAATGTAAGAACAGAGCCCGTTTTTAAATAGCCACCATCTTACTAGTAACAGTATCTTCCAAATTAGGAAGCACTAGAAAGCAAATTATCACAAATACTGGAAAATGCTTTTACTTGAAACTTCTTTTATCACGCTATAACAATTCCCTAAAACAATTCTATAGAGAAAAGCCTTTTTGCTTCAATAAGATTTGTGTTGGGAGACACCTAGAAATAATATTTTTCTTGAACATATAGAAAAAAAAAATGAAAGGATGCAACTAACTTTGTAGAAAACTTGGAGAAACTAAATTTTACTATTTTCCAACCCTGAAAAGAAGGGGAAGAAGTAGAAAACCCCAAATCAAGACACGGTCTTCAAAGATTGCCAGCATTTGTCTAAATGGCTTTTATCTAGGGGCTTTTATCTAAAACAAGTTCTAGGCAAAACCAAAACATAAAGCAAATTGAAATAATTGTTCTCTCAAATAATCAGACATCTGTTCTTTTATCAGTCCTTCGAACAAAGTGCTCTGCAAGGTGCATGGGGAATACTAGCATCATAGCTCTATAAGGTTCAACACACAGCTTGGAGGTTTCCTGCCAGAGGGCATAAAGCTTGGAGAAGGCATTTTTTCTTCTCTCAATTTCTAGCAGTTTCTGTTTTGCCAGGTTGCTATTAACAGAATCATCTCTTTCAGTCAAGCCACTGTCAAGAAAAGTCAAAAACAGATTCCACAGCATATTTAAAGAAACATCGGATAATAGTTTTTGGACAAAATCATATACCTTCAGTTTTGGAACAGGTACTTGTAGAATAAGCTGCAGTGCCTGAGTACAGGCAGAGGAACAATACCGCTTCCTTTGTCAATTAAGTCAACACACAGCCATTTTAATTTTGTTTGTTTGCTTCTCCAAAAGCGACACCTTGAAAGATTAGATGATATCTCCTTCCCTATTAAAGGCGCATTTGCCAACAAAAAAAGTCAATAAGAGAGCAACATAAGTCACAGCTGGATGTTGAAATGAGAATCATAGCAGGAGTAAGCGAGAAGCAATCTGAAGAACCTGAAGGCGACTTAGCAACACACAGCCATTTCTCAGTCCCAAAACTGACAGTGTGGAAACTACTGCATTTCATTTAAGGCATGAAGCCCTGTCTCCTCTAATGCAGTTATTTACCTTAGTACTTTCAGTATTAAGGCAGATGTTCTTTAGATGAAAATATGTATTTGGGTGTGGACTGTGCTGGACTAAATAACAGGATACACAAAACGCTAAGAGATTTAATCTCGAAATTATTATTTTTTTTCCTTTTGGTTTTGCTTTTGCATTGCGTTTGATCTGTTTGACTGCACTTCTGTATGGCACATAACTCACGCAACAGCAAAAGCATCCATGCCTGTACACAAACAGCGGTGCTCTGTTACAGACACCGCGGCGAAGCGCAGCCATGCTTCGGAGGTACAGCAGTGGGAGATGAGCCATATAACTGTCAGAACGAGCACCACGCAGCTTGCAAGGAGATCGCCAGGCGGAAACGACACCCCCACAGCCCGAGCGCTGCGCCGCCGCCATGACGTACTGACGGCGGGAAAGCGCCACCCCGCGGCTCCATCCCCCACAGCTCTCGAAAGAAGGCGCGGTCCGCCGGAGCTGCTGCGCGTGCGCACGGCGCTGCCGCTGCGGTTATGGCGGCGCCCCGTAGCCTCAGCGTCTCGCGGTGACGAGCGTGGGCGGCTGGGGATGGCCGAGGCGGGGAACGCGATGTCTGCGCTGGGGCCGCGGCTGGAGGCGCTGGGCCGGCGGCTGGAGGCGCCGAGGGGAGCGGGCGGCGATGGTGAGGGGCGGCCGTAGGGAGTGGAGACGGAGGCCGTTTCCCTCGTCCCCGGCGAGCCGCTGAGGGCACCGCCCTCCCGCCAATAAGGAGTCAGGGCCCGGGGCGAGACCGCGGTCCGCGGAACGTTGAGGCCGCTTTGTTGAGCGGGTGGTGAGGCTGAAGCCCGCCCCTGTGTGGCACCGAGGCGGCCGCTGTGCCCGTGCGCTGTGTGGTGCTGCCCGCGGGGCCCTCCGGTCGGTGATGGCAGGGCGAGCAGCGCAGAGCCTCCTAGAGAGCTGCGCGTTATCTGCCGCTGCACGCATCACGAGGGCTGACCCTGCTAAGGGGGCACTGTGTTCTTCTTCAGGTATCTTCTTAGCAAAGGGCTCTGCTGCTCTGGAGAGACTGAAGGACCTCTGTAAAGAAGGGAAAGAGAAAGCACATCATTCCACGATTCTACAGCTTTACACACAGGTAGTGCATACGAAGCACGTTAACTGCCTGCTTTTGGTGTGTGGGAGAAGGGTAGGGTACAGCAGGAACTGATCTGTGTCACCTAGCATGTGTGGTAACACAGAACACATAAAATGCCAGTCTGCTTTTATTTGGTTTGGGAGATGAGTTAAGAATTGACATGTAGGACATAAAGAGACATGAAGAGTTACCTCAACTGCAAACAACCATACTTTTAACTGGTTACTTTTTAAAATTAAGGATTACTTTAAAATTGTAATCCTTTACAAACTGTCACAAGTGTGCGCTTGTTACTGCACGCTACCATCTGATTAGTTTGCTGGTGGTATTTTCACATTGTGTATCTTCTTGCTTCCATAGGCTGTCCTAGACATTACCTATTTTGAGGAAAGCCAGCTTGTGGATGAAGATTTTGCAGGGGAATCTTCATTACAAAAAGTTAAAGAACTTATCTGTATTCTTTCAGACCCAGAAGACTTAGTGAGGGAATGCAGCATAAATGAAGAAGTGAGTACTAACATTATTCATCCAGAGAATTAACTATTTATTACTTAAAAAATCAAAAATCTGATTTGGGTAGTAGCACTTGTTGTTTTTTTTTTCCCCAATGATCTTAAATTTTTCCCAACACAAATACGTTTTAGCTGTATTTAAATAATGATTCCTGAAAATAATTTTTCAAGTAACTTGTGTGCCGAGAATTTTCCTTACTAACATTTCCTGATTCCAGACACTTTTGACAACATAAACGCGAAGTACTGGACATATGACTGAGCACTGTTGTTAAGCACAGCCTTTAAAGATGGACATTTAATATGTACGCATGCGTGAGTGTGTATGTGATAGCTCAGATGGCTTATTTTTTGGCTTATCACAGTTTGCTGGATTTTATTTCAGCCTGTCAACATCCTTAGTACAGACTTGGTAGAATGTCTTTACTGGAGAAAAGGAGCCCTGTTTTACATGTATTGCCATAGAGTAAAAGAAAGGAGCGAATGGATGAGAGGAAACGTTGCTTTATTTAAAAAGGTAAAGGAGATTTTGTGAAGTGCTCTGAGGGTATGAGTGCATGTAAGTACAGTTAAAAGCATGACTTGTCTCTTTTAAAATTTCTTTTTTTTTTTTTTTCCTCCTTTAAAATAAAACTGAGGAAATTCGTATCTGCAAGTATTTCTGGCTATCGTTAAATTAATGAGAATTTATCTAATTTTTTTCCTTTTCTTTTAAACTATATTCAGTGTCTTAATGATGGAGTTCATTACCTGATGAAGATGCTTAGCTTCAGATGCCCTCTTCATTTAGATGGAGATATCTCACTTCAAGATAAAGACACAGCTAGACTACTCAGTGAAGGTAAAATAAATAAATAAATAAATAAATACAGCACACACCTGTAACTGCTCCACTTTATGAAATCTCTATTATGTTTTTTTTTAATTTCATTTGAACTCACTTTTTAGAACAAAAGCAGCAAACAAACAAACAAACAGATATGAGAAAAGTAGGCAGAAGTACTGCTACTGCTTAAAATGTTCAAATGTTAATGCTCAAATAGCATCTTTTTGCTGGACTTGGAAGGCTCGTAAGTACTCTAGTATGAATATACCTCACCATACCAGCATTTAAAGAAATACAGAACTTCTCTAGGATAAATAGGCAAACACAATTAGCAGAGTATTTATATGCCCATCTTAAATATTTAAATATTATGAAAGGGCGAAGTGGGTGAAGTAATGAGCAAAACACATTCTCTTCTGGGGAGCTTCAGTCATGCAATTGTAGAAATGTGTGCTTTAGTCTACCTCTCAAATAGGCTTATGTTGCCTTTGTCAGCATTGATTACTGTGTTACTAGAAAAAAGTAACAAACTGTATATTTGTTCACAAGAGAAGAATGAAATACCTGATCTAAATTGTGTTTTGCAGGTATATTTAGCGACACGCACTTACTGGCCATGATGTACAGTGGAGAAATGTGCTACTGGGGACTGAAATACTGTAGAGAGGGAAAGCAGGAGAACCTCAAGATGATGAACTCAGTGTCTGGCAGTGAGCTGGGCTGCAGATCACAGGGTGCACTGGTGGATTTCCGAGAGCTGGGCAAAACCATGTTAACAAAGTACATTGCTGTGTGTGAGGGACCTTTAAAAGACCAAGGATGGAACACAACAAGTGCAAACCAGATGCTATGCTACCTCAGGAAAACCCACAGTTAGAATTGTCGCTGTTGCTCTGTCGGAAGCTGCTCGCTGTGTGATGAGCGCTCATAGGATGACTGTCTGCTCCAGGTTGGGACCTGCTGTGCCTCGAGCCTGCCTGCTCGTACAGAATGTATGCTAAGTTGCATTAAAGCACGAGTTCAAAGAACGGGCGGCACGGCGGTCCAAAGTGCTGTGCGGTAGTGCTTCTGGAACGCGTCACCGTTCAAGAGCTCCATCGAATCGCGGGTGACGTTCCTCGCGGGCCTGCTGACGGCGCAAACTCCACGCTGGCCGCGGCGGCGTGTCCTCCGTGCCCCGGGCGGGCGCCGCCTCCGGCCGCGGTGCGGCTGGCGGCGGAGCGCGGCGGTATGGCGGCGGAGCGCGGCGGGCTGGAGGCGGCGGTGCGCGGCCGCCTGCGCGGGCTTCGGGAGCGCTGGGTGCGGGGCAGCCGGGAGCGGGGTGCGGCGGCCGCAGAGCCGGGCTCCGCAGACGGCGCCGAGGAGGCGGCGGAGGAAGTGAGCGCCCTGCAGGCGCTGCCGGTGAGCGAGACCCTCCTTCTTCTCCGGCGCTGCGCGGGACCGCGTAAGGGCGCGGTGTGCGTGAATAACCCAAATTCCTCGCTGCAGCAAGGGAAGGACACCGCGGTCTCTAGGCCTTCCGCATCGGGCAGCAGGGATAACGCACCATGATGCGCGGCACCCTTGTCCTACTCTCCCTCTGCGCCGCTCGGTTTGTCGGGCTCCCGGAGCGCTAACCCCCTGCTGTGGTTGTTTGCAGATCGACGTGCAGCTGTATATCATGTCCTTCCTCTCTCCCCAAGACCTGTGCCGCTTGGGGTGCACGAGTTGTTACTGGAGGGTGGCTGTGCAGGACCCCCTGCTGTGGAGGAATTTTCTCCTGCGGGATCTCCCGATTTGGACATCTGTTGATTGGAAATCTCTCCCAGCCGCAGAAATTTTTAATAAAGCCTTTTCACAAGTCAGCGATGAAGCCCTGTATGATTATATGGCAGTGTAAGTATTTCTCTGTTCTCTGATACAATTCACAAGCCCTGCACAGCAGCCCACAGACAGGTTTTATATTTACAGTAGAAAGATTGTGTGGTAAGATGATACTGAATAAATGTTGATGGTGGTTAAACCCATTGCCTGTTTTGGAAATCTGATTTCCTGTTGTATGACAGTTTGGTCAGTTTGGAATTCAGCAGGATGTAAGATGCTTTGAGAAAGCAGAGGTTTTTGTAAACTATACCACAGGAAAACAGGAGAAGCTGCAAATCCTGGTGATGTTGATGAAAATGTTCTTAAGTACAATGGAAAAGTACACTCTTTATATAAAGTACTAAAAAGTATTTCAAATACAGCAAAACTAATGATTATTCCTTATCTCTGAATTAGAGAGATGTGGATCTCTTCAAGGCAGAGATTGGACTATTCTGTGGATAACTGTTTGGAAGGTCACAGCCAGGGCGTTGTGGTCATGACTATAGAGGCTGTTCACAAGTGCTATCCCCCATGGGTCCATCTTGGGACCAGTGCTATTCAACATTTTTACCAGTGACATAGACAGTGGGACTGAGTCTACTCTCATCAAGTTTGATGATGACACCAAGCTGAGCGTGCGTTTGATACAGTCAAAAGGGTGCAATGGTATCCAAAGGGACCTGAACAAGCTTGAAAAGTGGGACCATGAGAACCTAACGAGGTTCAACGAGGCCAAGTGTGTAGTACTGCGTTTTGGTTAGGGCAGTCCCAGGTATATGTTTCTCCACAAGCTGGAGATGGAACTCATTGAGAGCACCCCTGTGGACATGGTCTTCAGGTTCTGGTGGATGGAAAGCTGAACATGAGGCAGCACTGTGCACTTGTGGCCTAGTTGGCCAACAGAATCCTGCTCTGCAACAGAAGAGGTGTGGTCAGAGGGAAGAGGGAGATGATTGTCCCCCTCTGTTCTCCCCTTGTAAGGCCCCACTTGCAGTACTGCATCCAGGCCTGGCGGCCCCGGCACAAGAAAGATGTGGAACTGTTGGACCAGATCCACAGGAGAGCTGGGAAGATGACTGGAGAGCTGGAGCACCTCTCCTGTGAAAAAAGGCTGAGGGAGCTCAGCTTGTTCAGCCTGGAGAAGAGAAGGCTGTGGCAGTACTTGAAGAGCCTTTACAAGAGGGGAGGATTACACTAGAGGATGGTGAGGCACAGGTTGAACAGAGAAGCTGCGGATGTCCCGTTCCTGGAGGTGTTCAAGGCCAGGTTAGGTGAGGCTCTGAGCATCGTGATCTAATGGATGGTGATCCTTCCTGTGGTGGCAGAGTTGGAACTGGTTGGTCCTTGAGGTCTCTTCTAATTCAAGCCATTCTAGATTCTTATGCTTTTTGTATTTTATTTTCAAGACTTAGGAGGAAAAAAAAAAGTAAATATTGAGAGTGCATGGAATAACAAGTAGTACTGTTTTAGTTCTGTTGATTACTGGCTAAAAGATAAAGTCTGTGATTAGAAGTAGTGTAGTTTAAAATCACAGAAACCTCTATAGTGTGTTTGGATGAGTGAACAAAAACTCTGTGACAAACAGATTATTCAGTTGTGGTTTTTTAAACTTCAGTTACTTTGCAGTAAAAGTTTTTCATTTGCAGTTACTTTTTCCCAAGATGATTTCATAAAACTTGCTTCATGAAGAAGTGCACTAAGACTCTACAGTCTTTTTGCCCTGCATCCTCACTTTGGATGGGAAAGAGGTACTCTGAATGTGAAGTAAAACATATTTCTGATTTTGAACATAGGATTTAAATGTTCTTAGGTCTGAATACTTAAGAACATCATATATTTGAAACCATCTGTCACTGATTGCCATTGTGTCACAAAATGGGTTGGGTTGGAAGGGACCTTTAAAACCATCTAGCTCTAACCCCCTACAGTAGGCAGGGTTGCCACCCACTAGATCAGGCTGCCCAGGCCCCCATGCAACCTCTTATCCTAACAGTGCTGTATGCACAGTGTTGGAGTTTCTAATTTTCCTTTTTTTTAATAAACAATAAGATTTATATTAAAGGTTTGAAAAGTCGGTGTTTGGAATCTGGATGAACTGATGCTTTTGCCTGCTTTATGGTGATGTCTGAAATCATCAGTTTGGAACTTTCACCAGTGCATTTTCACCCTTTGCTTGAGTTATAGAAGTATAGAAGCGTGAGAAGTGTGGGACCTAAAAAAATGTTTATTGATTAATACCACTTTTGTATTTTGTGTTTTGTATTTTGTGTTTAAGTTGCATCTATTTTAACACAGATATAAAAAAAGCTGTCCCCAGACCAGAAGAAGTTTGAAATCAAGCCGCCCCCGCTATGGTGCAGTCGCTTCCTTTTTGCAATCGCTGGTCACTCAGTCAGAACCTCGTTTTGCTATGTTTGGGCCGGGTTTGGAAGAGCTGGATGACTCTTTAGTACAAAAGATGATGACGTGCCCAGAAATCCTGCTAGTGGCTGGCTTACCTCAAAGACGAATTCATGGTAACGGTAGTGATGGTTATTGTTTGTATTAATTTTAATTTCATGAACAGATATAACAAAAAGCAGGGGAGAAATGGAAAAAGATTTTTTTTAATGCTCCCCTTGAGACTCAAAAGCATACTGATTTTAAAAAAAAAAAAAAAAAAAAAACCTCTCTGCATGTATTTATTCAAAAGGATAAATACAATAAGCATTAGAATTGTAGATTGTTGCTGCAGTAAATTTAATGATTTCATTAAAGAAAAATCAAAGGTATCAAGATTTTGTTATTTTTTTCTATTTTGATCCTAAATTCCATGTCAGAATTGCTGTGGTAATAGAAATTTTCCTTTAGATCTTGCTTGAAGTGGTTAAAAACTAGGTTTGTGTTTTTTATGCAGGAATTCAAGACTGATCATGTATGTGATTCAGTCATCCAGTGTCAAACAGTGTAAACTCCAGAGTTGTAGGACCATGAAAAGGAATTTTGACAAAGTTTAAAAACTTTCTTTTTAACGTCTGTAATTTCACTTACGTCCAGACCTCACAAAAACTTTATTTCCTTTATTTAAATGCAGCACAGTTGGAATGATTACATTATCACTGTAAGAGGTGTGAAAATATGGTGTGAAAATAGAACTTCTTAGTTACCTTTTTTTCTCTCATTTTCAATTCAATTTGTTGTAAATAGTCCAGAAACTTTTCTGTGCTAGTTTAGGGTGACAGACACAAGTCTAACTCCTCTCTTAGCTTTCTAGGTTCGACCCTAAATGTTAAATGTATGCAAATACCATCTTGTTTTCTTCTAATGCTGCTTATTTTAGTTAAATTAACTGTCTGTGTGGCCAATTTAGAGCAGGTGTAAAATTTCATCATGAAATAATGTATGCAAACTACCCCTAGCAGCAGCATGTTTGTATGTATCCATTTTACCGCACCACTGCATTTTTCAACCTGGAACTTAATTATATTCGATGACAAAGTGTTTGTAATCTTTTATGCTTTCTTTCCTGTAGGAATTGGATCAGGAGTCAGTTTTCAGATGAATAATAATCAAAAATTCAACATTCTGACGTTGTACTCAACCACCAGGTAAGATTACTTCTCCACAAAAAAGCACAATTTTTCAGTTGTTTCATACTTCTCTGGAAGTATGAATTAATTTAAGCTCTGGAAACAAGGCTGTGTCACCTGGGAAGAGTACAGGAACGCCGTCCGGACTTGCAGACGTGGGATCAGGGAAGCCAAGGCGCAGGCAGAACTGAACTTGGCAAGGGACGTGAAAAACAATAAGAAAACCTTCTACAGGTACATTGGCCAGAAGAGACAGGCCAAAACGGGCGTACCTACTTTGGTAAATTTAAAAGGAGAACTGGCTTCAACAGATGAAGAGAAAGCTGAGGTGCTGAATGAGTTCTTCACCTCGGTCTTCACTGGTGGCCAGGATTCTAGTCTTCTTCACGTCCATGAACCCTGCATCCCCAAAGCTCTATGTGGGGACCAAGGAGGTAAATCCCTCCCCACTGTAAGGGCAGAGCAAGTCCGAGAGTACCTCCTTAGACTGAATGAATACAAGTCTATGGGGCCAGATGGCGTGCATCCCAGGGTCCTGAAGGAGCTGGCTGAGGTGGTTGCTGAGCCGCTCTCCATCATATTTGAGAAGTCGTGGCTGTCAGGTGAGGTCCCAG